TTTTAGCAATGTGGACTTTACAAACTTTGATTGTATACAGTATATTGATTGTATATTGATAGTTACAAAACACAAATTTCTAATGAGAATAAATTACATGTTCAGGTTTCACTAAGACTTGATATTAATGAGCGAGAAAAACAACAACCCATCCAAGCAATTGAAGCTTGCATGTAGTATAGGCTGTTCGGTTGCAGGGTTGCTCCTGTGGAAACTATTACCAGTATTTTTATGGAAACTCGGAAATACAAATGACTTAGTTTGCTTTGTAATCAAGGACTTTTAATGAACATCCAAAGCGCCTGCTTACATGTGATAAAATCTCAAAAAAACGCTTAATAATTTTTCCTCATCTTATTCAAGCGGCGCACTTTTGTGAGTACCATATCTTCCCTTTTTGTTTTAATCTAAGGCTAGCAAGGTGAGAATGGCTGGAGCGAGGGGCAGACTTTTCTGCCACATTAGCTATATCCCGCGACTAGACTAAGGCCCGTATTACAGAATGACAACCAAGTGTTGATCTTTACTTGAGTGCAGTTAGAAAGGGATGTCGCTATAGCGACATCCCTTTCTAACTGCACTAGACTAGATCAATCACTGAGAATCTTTCTATAATACGGGCCTAAAATTAAATTAAAATAATTAATAAAAAAGCTAATATTTAATAATAATAACACTTTTTTTTTGAATACAATTACTCCATAGGCGTATGCCCATGCCATTATTTAGTTTGACTTTTTTTAAGTTATGTTATATACATTTGTTTGTGCACTCAGTGCGGCCTTTTATATTTAATCATGCAAACATGCGGCATGCTCACTTATGTCTACTTAACTAATATAAATTTGGACATATTGTCCATCCCCTTTTTAATGAATATTCTTAATAATAACACTCCTTCCTTAAAGGTTGCGGCATTGCATTTGTAATACTCCTGGTGTAGCAGGTGTCTAAGGGCGACAGTGATTTTTGCCATTAGGTTAGAGCTGTTAAATCGTATCTCCCCTATGATATGAAAAAAGATAATGTTGTTAGTCAAGGAGTTCAAAATAAAACAAATACTATTCTTAATACAAACAGATATATAATTTACTTTGACACCGTCAACTTATAATAGATTAGGTACCAATAATCGTCTTAACAACATTAATAATAAGACTATTAAATAATGAAGATAGATTTAAAAAAATATAACATAAAACCTTTGAGGTACGAATCAATGAAATGTTGAATGGATTGCGTCGATTTTTTCAATATTAATCGACCGACAAATATTACAATTCTGTTGTACATGATTGTACACTAATTTACAATGAAAAATAATATGAACGATATACACCATCTTATGTGGTGCTTAATGTACGATATTATAATGATGTTACAATTTTCAGATTAGTGTTCCCAAATACCCATGAAAAAGAAGTGATGATTTTTTGTCATTTTTACATTTAAAACATACTTATTAAATAAATTCACTTGCAGACGAAAAAAAAACATTTATTAAATACAGTTTTTTAAAATAATTCACACATTACTGCACATACCTTTATTGAATCTATATTTCATTTTTATAAGAACTTTAGTCATAAATATCTATTAAAAACATCGTGTGAGTGTCTAAAATCATAATGCTTCACATAAATAAAATTATTATAGGTCATATACATCAAAAAATATCAAAATTAAAGCTTAATTAACTAATAATTATCTACAATTATATTTTCATAACTGGGATATTGTCCTCAGTGATTCAGGAATTATAACGACGTGTAATTTTATGGAAGACATAGTATGTAATTAAAAATATGTTATAATGGGAAAAAATATAAGTTTAAAAAACAATTTTAAAATAATTTGCTCAGACTAAAATAAACATTTACGAGTACAATTGTATATATTAATTTAGTTATTACGAATATAAAATATCGCCTTATAAAGTTCACAAATAAAAAAAATGTTTTCTAACTCATATTTATATACATTGTCATCTTTTTACAAACATTCCTTCTTTTCAAATAAAATTTCATTAATCCAGTTTATAACATCATTCCGTCCATGTCAACTATTTGAAGTCAGAAGAGATACCTTTTAACGTGATTTACTTTGCAATATTATACAAGAACGGTGTTTAAAGTAAAGCAAACTGAATGTCGGCTGTGAAGTTAGCGCAAGTCGCGACGCCGTAAACGAAATTGTTGCGAGCGGGATTTTACTGAACTGACCATTGATATAGGAAGTGGACTGACCTTGTCAATATGCAAAGTAAAACTGGGAGACAAAGCCATAGTGCGGCAAATGATTCTTATAATTATTGGCTACACCATCGCATTCTCTCTTTCTAGAGCAAACTCAGTCCATTCCCTATATCTATGAAACTGGCTGATAACGATAGCGCATATTGCGCTCGCTGCTAACTTCACAATCGATCGATCAATCAATAAATAAATTCATAGTTTACATTATGATTTTAGACAGATACATCGTTCACTAGCCTGCTTATACAATATCTAGTACTCAGTAACACTGTGACTAGAGAATTAAAAATACAAAATAATACGATATTATCTATTGCTAAAGTGTTTTGCCTGAAAGAGTAAAGCTTCACACCTCAACTATAAACTGCGATAAAATTAGCTCACATAATAATTTACCTGTTAGCATATAAGAGAATTGATAAATGTTTGCAATATTCATAGTGTATATTTATGGATACCAAGACAACTTCTCATTAAATGAAAAATAACTGATAAGACAACTTTTTAAGAGTGAATAATTAAATAAAATAGCAAAATTTTCAAATCCGAGCGGAAAAAATTCACGTTGTATAAACACAGATGGCGCTGTATAATAATTATATACGAGTACGTGTATGTTTAGCATTCATTACACGTTCGGAATAAAGCGAAAAAGGAGTTTAAACAGAATAGTCTCAAGGTCTTTCAATAGTTTTACTACCCAAAGATTTCTGAAAAAAAATCTACTTCTGCATCTTGATAATTTTAATTGGATTTTGGGTTTTTTATTCTAAATACCACTGATATTATTTTTTGTATAACAACTTGTGTGTTGTTATTATTATTGTAGAAAATCCTACATCTATTTTGTCGAGCTAACGAACTGCCTAACCTATTATGTTTTCGTAAAAACCTATTGTCTATAGATGTTAATAAAATTTTCTATTTTTAATCGTCTTTCAATTTGGCTGTTTATAAAAATCCGCTGAATTATGTTTTAATTTAAATTAAAAAACTATTACATCATGTTACAGAAGAAATGCAGCTAACGAAATAATATAATTTATACTTTCTTATCCATCCTCCCTATTCCATCCATAGGAAAGGCCTGTGCCCCAGCAATGGGGACATTAATAGGCTGATGATGATGATACTTTCTTAAACAAAACACAAAAAGACCATCTGGTTCTATTGAAGAATACTGTATGTAAAACAATTTGTATTGAACCAATAAATTAACAATTAAGAATTTGGATTTCATTGTCAATAATAAAGATCATTTTTTTTTTAAATCCATACTTCGATTTGCGATAGGCTGTTATTTGACAACATAAATAATTTCTATTAAAGCTGTAAATTCACTGAATAGATTTAGGCCTGTTTATTTTAAATGTCAACAATCCATTAATTCCACATTATTCTGGTGCGTGATTTGATACTGAGTTTATTATATACTGACGAAGATATGTTATCTATATTGGTCCAAGTGAGACGCTTTGTGTGTAGTATCGAAGAGAAAGTAAATCAATACGGTTATTATTTAATGGCACTCACGCTTCCAAACAAAATGATACAATTAGACAATATTAATTATCGAATAACAACAGCATCCGAGGAATGTGTGGGCTACGTCTCGTGGATATTCAAATTCAAACAAGTCGCATTTAAACATTGGACGTTTACACCCAAGACCGTGATTCCACGTAATTCATCTTTTGAAATCAATTTATCACCAGAAGTTTACGTCTATAATAATAACCAAGAAAGTGGGTCCCAACACAACAATATGATGAGTAACCAAAGATTAAGCAGTATTTCATTTCGAGACTTTGGAACGCATTTATTCTGCATCACAAATGATCTGTCCCTTTAAGCAGCTTGTAAACTTGCCCGTGTCTTCGGCTTTTTTGCCATCTGCTACTCGATGATACGGGCGAGTTTACAAGTTACTAGCGAACTCGCTGGCTTGTAGCTTTTAAACTCGCCCCGTGTCATCGAGGCTTTAGGTACGCATTTCGTGTTATGTTTGAACCCAATTTCAAAAGAAAGCAAATACTGTGTAAAGACGGCCCGAACTTAAACATTATAACTTAACTACGAAGCTGTGTTAACATTAACATGTTACTTATAAAATGTCACACAAACACAGCCTTCCGTCTCAGTCACTTCTAATACAAAATGCCCGTTTCTGAAATGTTATACCTTTTATCAAATAAGTAAGATGTTCTTTATTTTTTTGTCTTAATATCTGGACACATTTATAGTGATCATTTCAGAAAACGAGCAAACACAGCAGTTACTAAATGTTAGTACAAATTGGAAGCCACTTTTCTACATTTACATGAATCTATAAATACAAAAACTGAATTTCGTCAATGTATATTTCGTTCTTTGTTTGTACTAAAATTCAGTACTCATAAGAAATCCTATTTCACAACATTCATACATTGGGGAAGTAGGAAATTGACATTTATTGGAAATGTTTCATAAGAGAATGTTAAGAGTAAAGATAATAATCTGATGAATGGATAGAAACGATCAGAGTGATTACAAGATTTAATTAAAAAGTAACACCAATTATGTATAACCAATAATAAGACCTGCGTACGATATGCACAATGTTCAAGAATTTGAAAATATCACACACATCGTACGCAAGGTTAGCAACACCAAGACATTTAAAGCCTTATGTACCGACATATGATTAACGATATTCTTTCATCAACATCAAATACGTTATCTTTACCAAATTTTCTACTGTTTAATTTAGTTGTGATCTAAATGCCTGAGCCAAAGGCCGAACAATAACTTCAGAACATGAACAACACTGACGTACATTTCGTCGTTCTCGAGATTATTATTCTCATCCCAATATGTCAACTTTCTACTGTAGTCTCTATAAGACACTATCTTTACGAATACTCTGCGCAAAATTTCGCGCATTGGCGTCTTCTCTCTCTGGAATCTCTCCTCTTCCATACAAACTTGACATCCACAATTACTACTTACATCTACTAAATTGGAAGTAACGGTTAGATCGCCGTCCAAGTTTTTGGCAACACTTTCCTCTGAGGAATCCTCGTATGTTACAACGATTGCCGACACCGACTCGTTAGGAAAGGTACTAGACTCTATATATTCGGCTTCATTGGATTTTATATTCTGGGCTTCATATTTTCCCTTGTAACTATCTCTGAAGCTTTTGAAATCAGGGGCTGAATAAGAGTCTGATTCGCTCAAACTATGATATGTTTTTCTGCTAGCTCTCATGGCAATGTCTTCGCAGCTGTGGTAGTTACCCAAACTTTGTTTCAACACTTCTTTCCTCAAATTGGTACCCAATTTTCTGATTCCCTGGAAAGACATGTTTCTTGGCAATCCTAACTTGGGTAACGATCTCTCTTGTTCACATTCGTTAAGGTTCCTCGACTCCGTTGATATGCTCCTGTGTAAAGGTTGTCTGATGTTTCCGATACTTCTTGCTTTAAACCTTCCTATTGTTCTAGATTGCATACTGTCAATCGTTTTATCTTTTCCGTCGTGTCCTGTTAATGTCGGTAGACTACCTCTTTCATCAGTGCCACCGGAAAAATTATAAAACGAGACTGTTTTATCAGGTTGTGTTGATTTGCTTCTATAATAAGCTCTGTGTTTAATTGCCAATTTTTGTGAGCTCACATTTAATTTTTTTAGTTCATCTAAGGAGTTTTTAGACGGTGCGTGTGTCAACTTTTTAGCGAGCGGTTGTCTAGCATCAACTACATCTTTACTAGTCTCGGCAAAGGAGGATAGACTGTTGGTAGATCTACTCGATTCCATGGAATTACTTCTGAAATAAGGTGCCCTCGTCTCCCGTGTCTCATCTTCGGTATAATCGCTATCATAGTCATAAGACTCTTTGTAACTATCGAAGTTGGTAAGCGATAAGTTCCATTTCAGTTTCTTAACTGGCGAAGATAGACTCCCACTGCCCATATTTATGTCTCTGTAGCCGTCGTTTAGTATCGACCAATTCACATCACTTTCCGAAGCGGTGTCAAATTCTGTCGAGACATGCCTGTTTTTCACTCTAATCTGAGAAACGGGGATGTCTTCGAAACTCCTGTACTGTTCCACTATACGATTTTGGGGAACTTCCGAATACAGAGTCCACGCGGACCCGTCACTACTTTCGGACCAATCGGAACCGACCGCGTGTAAAGTCTCAAATAAATCTTTACCTCCATCCAGGGAGACCGACCTGCGTAATGGAATTTCGTAGTTGTACCTACCTTTGTCTTGACTGTCTTCGGCTTCGTACTTGCCTAGCCACGTGTCGTATTCCGAGTTGACGTTGAGCAGTTCCTGCCTGAGGTCTAGTTGGAGTTTGGATCGCGTGTGTTTGTTGGTGTTGGTATTGGCGTTGATGTTGGTGTTAGTGTTGGTGGTAGGGGCGGGGTCGGAATGCCTACGCGGGGGCGGTGGGGGCGCCACTGGGCGCGGACATCTTGTGCGCGAGCGTGGAAAACGAACGGCGCGGGAACGAGCCCACGGCGATATCAGATTCAGCAAAGAGCTTGCGAAAACTGCGGACGCAAATTGGAAAATAAATAATAGGACTATATACGCTAATATTTGTTGGGAGTATTTTGGAGTTTACTGCCAAACATATCGAGATTGTCAAGAACTTATTATTTTAAACTTTCATAGTAACGAACATTTTAGTAGTTTTTATTATTGATGGGAATGTTTTCATGTACTTAAAATAAATTATTGGGCTATATACCGCTAATATTTGTTGGGAATATTTTGGAGAGTTTACTGCCAAACATATCGAGATTGTCAAGAACTTATTATTTTAAACTTTCATAGTAACGAACATTTAAGTATTTTTTTATTATTAATGGGATTGCTTTCATGTACTTGTTACTCCGTTATCATGGTATTGGCAACAGTACTGAAATATCGGGAACTCGCAAAAACAAGGTACATGGAAGCAATCCCGTTAATAACATAAATTACTATAGTGCCAGATAAATAATTTGCTTTTAAAAGGTTAGGGGTCCTGACGGAACACCATAATGTGGGAACAAGAACACCATTTGCTTTTATATTATCTAAAACATATAGTAGGCCTTAATACTCGAACTGTAAGCAAAATCACTAATATATCCTAGTTTTGATATTGCATTAGTGAATTCAACTGGCGTGATTCCAGTGGTTAGAGTTCAAACATTCAATCAATTTACCACTGAAGCCTGAGGCTTACAGAGACGGGGGTAATAACGACACGTACAAATAAGCGCTTTATGTTTATGCATTATTTATAAAAATCGTAAAAGACTAAATGTTTTATAAAGTTACGAGCTTCCTAATGTGATAAACTTGTTTAGGATTACACTACAGAGAAAACATAAAAAACAAAATGGCATCATAAAAAATCACTACATATTACATTGTGTATGTAAGCGTCGAAATGTACTTGGCGTGGCTATTCGTATTTGCTATTTGAAAATTCGACATCAGTCTCCTTTGAAATTCATACCTATAGACCAGTGGTTCTCAAACTTTTTAAATGACGGAACCCTTTTGGGAAGCAAAATACTTGATGGAACCCTACAATAAAACAATTATTTTTATAAGTGTATTCTATATTAATCAGCATAATAAAAGTACAATGTATCCGTTACTAATTATTATTTACTTCACCACTTGGTAAGGACAATAATAGAAAACATTAAAAAAGAAAAAATCTAACTAGTGGGAGGTATGAAACTGTTTTTTATTTTTCATCAATTGCTTGATATCAGGTTTGATGGAAGAAAGTTGGAGTCTCATATCAGCTTCGGCGTCCAGTCTATTGCGATATTTTGTTTTCGTGGCTGCGTAGGTAGAGAATCCTGTTTCGCACAAATATGTAGTTGGGAACGGGAGAAGAATATCCAGAGCCATTTGGCCAAGCATTGCATATTCATCTTGGATTCTGCACCAAAAATCATTAAGAGGCGTCGTTTTGAACAATGACTCCATACTTGTGTCTGATGACATTTCTAAAAGAGATTCATATATCTCATTTGACATGTTTTCAGGCTTTTCCAAGTTGGGTAAAAAAGGATTATGAATCCAGGAGTTCACTTTAATTTTTGTATTGTGTTCTTCGGGAAAATACTTTTCAAAAGATGCGCGCATCGAACTGAGATATTGGACCAATTCTTCAAACACATTATCTTCAAACATTTCTGAGTCGTTTTCGCTAACAAACTCAGTGAGTAACGTAAAACTTTCTATTTCTTTCTTACCAATGCAAATGATCCAAAAATCTAATTTTCTTTTAAAAGTAGTTATTTTATTATAGGCCTGAAACACTGTTGTCTGTTTACCTTGCAATGATAAATTTAATTCGTTAAGTTTTTGAAAGATATCCGCCATAAAAGACAATCGGAACAACCAAGTTTTATCATACAAACGGTCCTTCAAATTAAAAGAAGTATCTGCTGAAAGAAACATTTGTAACTCGGCTCTAAGTTCAAATAGCCTTGTTAAAGTTTTTCCCCGAGACAGCCATCGCACTTCTGTATGGAGCAGCAGTGTTTTATGTTTGCTGCCATAATCTTCACACAATAATGAGAACAATCGGGATTGTAGTGGTCGTGATTTGATAAAATTAATTATTTTTACCGCTTCATCCATAACTAATTTTAGATTAGACGGCATTTGCTTCATCGCAAGTGCTTGTCTATGCAGAATACAATGACTGGAACTACAATTAGGCGCTTTATTTTTCATTCGTGACACTGCTCCTGCTGTTTTACCTGTCATCGCCTTGGCCCCATCTGTACAAATGTCAATGCAATTGTTCCAACTGAGATTATGTTCTTCAAAAAATATATTTATTTTATTAAAAATTTCTTCCCCGGTAGTGTTTGTAAGCAGCGATGAACACATAAGCATGTCTTCTTCAAAAGAACTTTTATATGGATATCTCACAATAACCAGCAGGATAGCCAAACCAGCGACATCAGTCGACTCGTCCATTTGCAAAGCGAATCGTGTATTTTGTAGACGTGTAACTAGTTCTTGTTTGACGTAGCTTGCCAGATCATGGATTCGTCGTGAAACAGTATCGTTTGATAGCGGAACAGTAGAAAGATGCTTTGCAGATTTTTCATCAAGCATACATTTTGTTATGTCTAATACACATGGTTTTATTAATTTCTCAGCGATAGTGTGCGCTTCACCTGCTTGTGCAATGCGATAGCTAACTAAGTATGATGCCTCCGTGGCCTTTTCGTTGGTAGTTTGTGTTACATGCATCATATTTTTTTGACTTTCTAATAACTGATCTTTTTTGCGAACAAAAAATTCTTTATTCTTGTCTTTAGTCTCGGGGTGTACGGTTTCTAAATGTCGACGCAATTTGGCAGGTGCCATGGAACTATTAGGAAGCAGTTTACTACAGAGCATGCAGAGAGGTGAGCCGTTGGAATCAACAAATCCGAAACTGATATAAGATTCATCATACTTCCTTTTTTTCGTCTTTGAAACCGTCGAGCTTGACGTCGTGGCACTCGTGGCATCATCTTCTGGATCGGTGATTGCTAAATTCTCCGCGCGCATTGCTTTTGAACATTCAGCGTCATTAGAAGATGTTGTTGGAACACGTTTAACACCTTTAAGCCAACGTTCCATTCTTCTTTATTTATAATGTTACAAGTCAGGATAGTGGGGTTTAAATAATGCACAATCGTTACTGCGTATAAGAGACTAAATTTAGAACCTACAGGGAAGAAATGTATAAAACTGAGACAACAGAATACAGCAGGCAGTAAAACAATGAACACCAGTTTCTCGCTAGCGAGCTTGTAAGTAGGTAGTAACTTATCGCTCCGAACGCTAATCATCAACTGACGACGCCAACGCGCGATCGCCGCTTTTATACTTAGTCCTAGACTCGATCTCAAATATTCTCGAAAATACTCGAGTCGGCACCTTTGATAAACAAAAAGCAAAAATAAAAACAGAAATTTAAAAATAGCGTTGTAAACAATATCGACTTTATCCTTTGAAGTTAGAGACGAAAGTCGCTAGTTGACAACTATAGCGTCTAATTCAGAGGCGGCTTTTATCAAAGAGACTGAGCGCTTACAAGTATACTACCCGCTCGTTTTAAGTTTGCCGCTGGCGATAGGTATGAGTGTATGACGTTCGAAATTTTTTATTTAATTGTAACAATAAAAATTGTGTACGTTAGATATTTGGGTAAAACTATGACACATTATAAGTTTTGTTGTCACGTGGGGGAGGGTACGCGCATTCCACAGACCGGCAAACTTAGAGCGAACGCGTTGTACAAGTATAAAATTGTTGAGACCAAACTTATGAGATATTGTACCAGCTAATGTAACACAAGCTTATACAAATACAAATAAATAAATAAATAACATTCATAGCGTTTTGTCTCCGCGCGGCCGCGGAGTCCGCACAGCCGCGGAGCGACCAGAGAGAGGTGTTTTGATTTTTTTATTTCTAAATTCTTGCGGAACCCCGACAGAGGTATCACGGAACCCTAGGGTTCCGCGGAACACACTTAGAGTATAGCTGCTATAGACTATGATAACAGTACACTCCTGTCAAATGTGCAAATAGGAGTACGGATAGCCGTATAGTGGTAGTATAACGCATATTATTACATTCACGTTAATGTGGTAAAACAACACTCTCAGACGAATTATAAGGCGGGTTTTACAATAACAATTTCTACCCTAAAATGAGATCAAAAGACTAGAGACTATCTTTTGGGTGGAACATTTTACTCTGGCGTTTCAATTTTGATGTAAATTGGATGTCACGTTGGGCAAAGTTGTACCTAGAATGTAGGTGCGAAACGCAATCAATCCAAAATTCTGAATTTCAAAGATGGCGACATAATTTAATAAAAAAAAAACAATGAAGTAAATACTTCTACAAATTTTCAGGAACAGGCGGGCTAATGCTTTAGCACGTAGCGATCGTTCTCCTTCCCTCCAACAGGAAAAATATGTCATTTAGGACTATCCTATCCGAAGTATTCGAAACTTTTAAATCGGAAATAGTAACAGCTTTAAATAACTATTCTTTCGGTAATCCGATAGCTTCGTTTACGCTTAAGGCGCTCGATAACGTAACATCTCTTGCATAAATTTCGCCAGTTCCATAATGGCAGTTTGTACAGGAATTAACGAATAGACTACATTAATTATTAGTCTTAAGTTTTGGTTCTATCGTTACCCTGAAACAATAATCTCACCCATCTCTTACACTAATTTTCTGACCAACTAAAGATTCCTTATTATTCAGTCCAATATGTCTGATTAAATCACAGTGATCTTTCATTACATAAACTTCAACGATCGCACTTTATAACCCGTCTAAGAGTATTTCTTTAAATTACTAGTGCACGCAGTAATTTTAAGGCAATTTCTCATGTCACACACAATTCTAGCATACATCATAGCTCTTAAATACCCACGTACCGTTACAGTCTTCAGTACCAAGGGCCGAAAGAGATCCTTGGCGGCGGAGATCGCCTGCCCTTGTCGCGTGACGTCAACGCCAACCAAAACCTATGCGACACACTGGTTAAGGAGGACCAAAGAAAAAGGGCACAAAAATAACGAGAAAATAACAAAAAAATAATAATACGGGAGATTATTACAGAGATAAGAAAACAAACAAAATAGAAGAAGAAAAGAGTAGATACAATTGGTTTTAAAAGTTGCATTACTCATACTATTCACATAAGACGTTATTGAGAAAATTGCGGCCATGTCTGTCATATCAACATTTTATTGTTGCCAATCTTTGACAATAGGGTTAGATTAGGAAAAATTTTCGCGCGAAATTTAGCAAGCTCAAGTTAAAAATTAGCATTTTTCGAAAAATGTGACCATGATATTATTCCCGTCTTCAGTGTTGTTAAAACATGACACGATAAGAAACGGTAAAAAAATTACTGACGAGCTAAATATTAGCCGCCAACTTATAATAAGTACATTAATAGCAATTTATTGCAACACAGAAATGAGATAATGTATATTATTTTACAAATGAATTTCCACAGTTAGCTTTTCACAGCTTAGATTTCATGACTGTTGCTATTATATTTGTTATGTTTGTGTTTACACAATGTGCTTAATGAAGGAAATGGTATTGATTACATCAAGAAAACAGTTGAGTGAGACATATAATTTAATAGAATTAAATAAACAGAAAAGAAGAATAAAGGAAGGTAAAAGGTTCGGTAATGGGACAGTGGTTGAAGCTTTAAAGCATCGCCGAGTGCTCAGAACTTAAGTCCATGCACCGTGCTTCGTGCGAAATGTAACGATGCGTCCGTATATCGTGTGATCTCTTTCGGCCCTGGTGACATTTTCCACAACAATTTAAACCACCTAAAAAGACAAAAATAAATTTTGAGTGAAGGCCAAAATGTTCAGAGGTACAGTACAAGTCTGTTCAACATGCTTCTCTATATACCGTCCCAATTGAGGAGAAAGAAAAATGTACCAGAACCAAATAAAGCGAATTGTTTATGTGTGATATGGTAACACTGTGCTATGCGACGTGCTTCTGGGATTCCTAAGCGTGTTGTTAATAGTATAGTTATAGAGTATAAGATTACATTTTAATATTTGTGTGTGCTATTACGTTAAATGTAAATAATACCTATTCACCGAATGTAAATGAAAAAAAAAATAACCAATTAACAAATCGGGGCTGTGTAAATATTATGTGGAGGTGTATACAGTGCCTAGAAATAATACTGTTGTTCTCCCCATACGATAACTAGGACACCAAAAAATATAAGATCCAAAATTGATTTAAAATTTCAAAAGAAATATTATACGTGGTGTATGTGGCTGTAATATTGTACTGTATTATATCGTTCTAAATGAAATACTAACGGTTTGTTTCAATAATCAAACTCCAGTAATGGCAATGGAAGGCTTACCAGAGCTTTGCTGACAAAATATTTTTTATTATTAAGTCTACAATAACAATTGTTGCCAAGTAACGGAAACCAGATTATCCTACCATTTTACGAGAGGTTGATTATTTAAAGTGCCTGTTAGTCATTAAAACGCAGTAATATATAACTCACCACCAGTTATCTAGACAAAAAAAATGCAACCATCACCGTGTAACAAATAATTTGGACAAGGATACATACTCATAAACCAAAAACAAACATAAAACATGACGCATATAGTTGATTTTTCCCAAAACAGAATAATGATGCACAATGTGCTTAATGAAGGACACAATATTTATTGACAAGAAAATTGTTGTTAGTTTGGGAAAAATTCAACCACATTTTTAGATACCATGCATGAAACGAATAGTGCAAATGCCTCATTACAACGTTGGCTACCGTTAAATCTCGGTTTAGACCGGTCCAAAAAATGATGCCGTTTGATAAAAAAGACAGGAGACAGCATTAGGTTTTTCAGATGGACATAGAGAATGGACTAAACACTAAGCACAAAATTGACAACTTAAACACAGAATGAATTTTAATTCTATCCCCTCTTAGTAAAAAGATAGCTATGCATATGGTAAGCGTTGGTGCCGCCAATACTTATTCGAACTATTGGGCACCCGATGACTTTGTTTCTTTTTTTTTCATTTATTGAGCTTTAGCTCCAGGGCCATCAGCAAAAGAGAATTACTACAATGGTATAGAGGACTAACTTTGTTTCTCTCACACTTACTTTAGTTTGCTTTATAAATGCAAAGGGAAATTTGATAGTTTTGGAATAAGGCGCCCAGTCACCTGGGCAGCTTCTCTTTACAATTAGACAAGTAACACGATATCTGTTGACTTTGTCCATATTTAAACTTAATGCTGTCTCTGTTACGGTTCTATACACCCGTATTTTCTGAAAAAAATATATCTTAAAAGTAGTTTTTTTTTAATGATTCAAAATAATAATTGTATTACGCAACCAATTTGCATAAAGAAATTTTGAATTTGCGGTTATGAATATAAGTCTTACCCGAGTCTAACTTTAGTCAACGTTTCATAACAAGACGGCAAATCTTTACATGTATATAGTGGTATAGTACTTACAACTTCCTGATTCCACTGTTCCTCTTCCAGGGCGCGTCGTCGGGTTCAGCCGGCAGAGGGCCTTGTACGGGCGCCTCTTCCTCTTCCGCTGCTACGGTACTCATGGAAGGCGATGTGTCGGAACTGCTGCAGTAGGAAAATTTATTTAGGTATATTAAATCAAATGTTTATTGCTAATTAAAATCCAAGCATGTTTGAGGAAACGACTATTTTTTGGAGTGCAGCGAGGTTACGTGGGACTCCTCACCCCCTCTCCTCTCGCCCACCCGCTCAGCTTATCCGAGGACTGGCCCAACGGCTGCCCGAGACGAGCGAACCCTACCGCAACGAATTAGAAATAATACGGAAGCATTACTCTCTAATAACGGTAGCTAAAAATGGTTTGAAACTTATACAACTAAACTTCAATACTAACGCGACACGCACACAGGCAAAACAAAAAACCTTGACAAACAAAATATTTGCAAATGATTTCGGCTATGCATTCATAGGGTAAAATTATGTTAAACGGAAATCCCATCCAATCCCATAATCGGCGTGTTGATCGCACTTTCTCGCCCCACCCACTTGATCGCAGTTTGCGTGGAACCACTTTTTAGGACGGCAACGAATTAAATATTTTTTAAGTTGTAGTTGCCGTTCCCACTAAAAATCTAACGATGACCCTCTATTCCCCATAGGCCCTGATCTCGTCGGGCGGAAAACCCACTATTAGGTGGTACCCCGCCCGGCTAGGCCAAGGCACGGGGTCAGGCCAAGGGAACCCATCCGGATACTTCCATGACGCCACCAGTAGCGGCTCCTAAGCCTAACCTAGCTTCAAGTAGCCCATTTCTCCATCATTCGTGTTCTTAGACTTAGTTTGATGAAATGTTAATGCCATAGGTCTCACCTATCTGCTCGCGGCTCCACCTGCAACGCCTGCAGTTGTTCTTCGGTCCGGTTAAGCTTCAGTTTGAGTTCGTTCCTCTAGTGCAGTATGGCGCGCAGTTCTCGCACGCTAAACGTGGGCTTCGACGATTGTTCCTAAAGAAATTTTCACCTATCTGGTTGCGGCTCCACTTGCAACGCCTGCAGTTGTTCCTCGGCGGGGTTCAGCTTCAGTTTGAGCTCGTTCCTTTCGTGCAGTATGGCGCGCAGTTGTCGCACGCTGAACGTGGGCTTCGACGATTGTTCCTAAAAAAATTCTCACCTACTTTGTTTGCGGCTCCACCTGCAACGCCTGCAGTTGTTCCTCGGCCCGGTTCAGCATCAGTTTGAGCTCGTTCCTCTCGTGCAGTATGGCGCGCAGTTGTCGCACACTGAACGTGGGCTTCGACGATTGTTCCTAAAGAAATTTTCATCTATCTGGTTGCGGCTCCACTTGCAACGCCTGCAGTTGTTCCTCGGCGGGGTTCAGCTTCAGTTTGAGCTCGTTCCTTTCATGCAGTATGGCGCGCAGTTGTCGCACGCTGAACGTGGGCTTCGACGATTGTTCCTAAAGAAATTCTCACCTATCTGGTTGCGGCTCCACTTGCAACGCCTGCAGTTGTTCCTCGGCGAGGTTCAGCTTCAGTTTGAGCTCGTTCCTTTCGTGCAGTATGGCGCGCAATTGTCGCACGCTGAACGTGGGCTTCGACGATTGTTTCTTAAGAAATTCTCACCTATCTGGTTGCGGCTCCACTTGCAACGCCTGCAGTTGTTCCTCGGCGCGGTTCAGCTTCAGTTTGAGCTCGTTCCTTTCGTGCAGTATGGCGCGCAGTTCTCGCACGCTGAACGTGGGCTTCGACGATTGGTCCTCGTCGTCGCCGCCTTCGGGCGTGGCCGCGCCGCACGCTGCGCATTTCTACAACAAATGGTAAAACTGTTTTTTAGCCCCCGACAGAAAATTTGAGTGCTATAAGTTTGGCGTGTCTGTGTAACTGTATGTCTGTCTGTGGCATCGTAGCTCCTTAAAGAATGTATCGATTTGGATGCGGTCTCTTTTATTTGAAGCTGACATAATGGAAATGTTTTTTAGATTTAATTTTTAAGGATCAGTTTATTTTTTTAGACCATGAAATGGTCACTAACATTATAGTAATATAAGTTATTTACGGGATTGTTACCATGTACCTTGTTTTTAGCGACGTTTACTCCGTGATCATGGCGCTTACAACAGTGCCGAAATATCGGAAACTCGCTAAAATCAAGTTACGTGGTAACAATCCCGTAAATAACTATAAGGATCAGTTTAGTTGATGATCTACAAACCCCCGAGGGTTTGCCGCTCGACAGGACTAGAAACTGAAGGCGGATTGTTACTCTTCGTATCGAGCGGTCTGCCGTCCTAACCTTTTAATGTTTACACACTAAAGTGATTATTGCCTGCCGCGAATGGCCTGGTATAACCGCTGCGACTACACGGGTGCAAAGGACGTGTATATCTGTTTAGATTGATTGTCTCAATCCAGGTCATAAACCTGCATACAAAATTTCATTAGTTTTTGCGTGATTAGTAACTACAAAACTTTCATATTTATATTATTAGTAGGATGTAGGATTGCAATCTTTACCGTATAATAAGGAAAACAAAACCAATTTCCCAGTGTTTTTGTGTATTCGCTGTTCCTTGCTTATGACCTTTACAGAGCAACCAGGCTTAGGGCCGTGATATCCTTAGGGACTTCGAATCCGGTAGAGCAGAACGCCCCTGTAGTGTTCCTTTCATTTGGAATGTTGGTTTTGCTGGTTTTCCGGAACGTGAAGGGATGGAAGTAGGAAACAGAATAACTAAGTATAACTTGCGCCAATAAACGAATCGAAACAAACGACGCAAGATTGTCTGACTCTTTTACTCTTTATTTCTAACAGTATGTGAGAAACAGACAGTTTGTATTGCGTTTTTCTTTTTATTTTCGTTTCACTCATATATTAGTTATTACTAATATATGAGTCGGTTACGGTCGGCAACGCCCAACCCATTCTCAGTGCCATGAGGACAGTTTGTGTGAACACAATTCATATCGTTCCACAACTCAATATAGCGGTCGACCTGTTTCCTGTCATGATTTGATACTAAGTTATTTATAAAATTTATGAAAAGAAACGACCAACACTGTGGCCGCTTTACGGCCAGTCGTAATCAGCCCTCTAATGCGCGTGGTGCCTAACAGTATCATCCCTATCTTACTCCATTGTATGCTGGCGTTTGTCTAATATCACCCACTTCTGCAGACCTTCGTATTTTTGAAGTGAAAACTTCTTTAGCGGCGTTGTACACTTTTTTTGTAATGGATAAAAAAATTTACACTCGCGTCAGGACACGTGGGCTGATCGCCTCAGAACACGTGGACTGATCTAGGACTCTCTATCTAGGACTTCCAGGTGGCAGCTTTATTGTGAAGAAAATGCATTTTTTTACAATAGATGTCGCTAGGTGCGCTTAAATGTGATTCATGTAGTTGATGTTGTATGTATGTAATATAAATTGTAAAGTTTGTGTACGATAGCGCAATAAATAAATATTGTATTCTACCACATAAATGATAGTACTTTTATACTGATAATTACAGCAATCCGTGCAAAATTATTCCCTAACCATTCCAAAATATCAAAAATGCACAACGTTAATATTCAAGTTTTCACTTCTGCCGGCACTCCCGGAATGCAACCCGTCGGTTTTTTTTTTAATATATTTTACGCATACGAACTGACGGCTCACCTGGGCCCTATTTCACCAAGTCCAGATATGTCACTGACATAGGTCATAAAAATGACAAGCATTTTGTTACAATTGTCCTGAACTTACTTGAACGACAATTATGTTAAGAAAAATCTTTTTAAGTCGACATATTTGACAAATTGTCGGTAATTCTTGACAAGAGATCGGAGCTGTGTCAGATTTGAATTTCACTTGTAGTGTTTTCGTTGTTATTTACAAAATGGCTCTCCACAAAATCTTGAAAAGATGAGTTCTTATACAGGAGAATTTGTAAATAACGAAAAAAAATCAGCTTTGATGATATTGCGTTCAAAAAAAATCCGCAAAAGCAAAACCTGTATAGAACATTTAATTAAAAAAAAAAGTGCAGTGAGCAGATCACCCCCCAACAAACCGTCGGCTTACATATGTCGACTTGGTGAAATAGGGCCCTGATGGTAAGTGATCGCCGTCGCACATAGCACCGTACCCACATTTAAAGTAGGAGTATACTCTTTATTTGAAGGTTTTCTGGTCGTATTGTTCCGAAAAATCTGCTGGCGACAATATATTCCACAGTGTTGGAATACGTGTTAAAAAAAATACAAAGCCGCACGGTTGTAGATAGCCATGCATCAAGATATAGGTACTTATTATACGTATATATAAGTGGGATAACACAGTTTTCTGTCTCACCTTGTCTTGCGCATTTACTTGCTGTAGCGCGGTGATGTCCCGTTGCTGTGCTTGCACTATGGCCGTCAATTCGGAACGCTCTTCGCATACTAGACGCATCTGTGAATTCAAATAATGTATATTTTTATTTGCAATCATAATCATCATACTTTTTTATGTTAAAAGGGTGGCAAACAAGCGTATGGCCCGCCTGTTGGTACGTACTTATAGACGCTTGCGATACGAAAAATATCACTCGCACCGTTGCCTACCCTGATCCAATCTCCTACCCCGTGGAGACCATAAGCCTTCCCTATGGATAGATAAGGGCGATTTACAATCTGCATTCAATAAAATTAGTAATATACCTACTATAAAGGTACTCGAGCACACTAACTACGAACCTTTAAATATTATTAATAATAATAATTTATTTTACTCTAAATTACAAGTGTTCCCTCGAAACAATTAGTGGATGCAGGCCCCTCTTTCCCAGTGGGCACTTTGGGCAAGTGCCCAGGGCCCCGCGATCGATAGGGGCCACCCTCAGATCAAATACAGAGTCCCTAGTCCTATTAAATCACCAAACGGGGGTCATAAGGGCCCCATTATCCTAATATGCCCAGGGCCTCCAATAGGTCAAAGACGGCGGATGAATGCATCCACTCATTCATTGATTTTCTGATACTAAGAGGTAATCGTTGACAGCTGTAATAGTAAAAACTGTGACACAGCTGCCAGCGCCCACACCCAAAGACAACTACATATTCTACATAATTTTAGATCTCAATAGAGAACTATAAACTAACAACTTTATAAACCAAGACCATAAAAGATTTTATATTGTAACAATTAAGTCTGATACAAAACAAATCTGTTCCAATGTTTTAATATTCAATATAAACGAAAGGAACTCTAATAACTACAATTAATCGAAATTAAATGTTTGTCAATAATTATAATTTTTATTATTTTAAATCATGTAACTGCTTGATGTTTAAATCTAAAGAAAATATAACTAGAAAAAATTCCACGCGGACCAGGCAGCAGACGGGACTCGAACCCGCACCCTTCGCAATCCGGGCGAATGCACTGACCAATGTTTGTCAATAGTTTGGAGTCATTTCTACAAAGAAAATCACAGCAACATCAAATTTCATTATTAAAAGTTAAAAGTTATTTTTGAAGTCTCTGTGTGCAGCCATTTTTCATGTTAAATCACACACCAGCTTGATATTGGACGAAAAAAATAAGAATCCTTTAGTACTTAATTAAGTTTGTTTTAATTAAGTTACGTGTGTATTATAACATAGTGTTTTATTACTTGGTAAATGAAAATTACCATAAAAGACTGAATTTAATGACTCTCTTCTTTTATGTTAGGAGCTCATTACATATAGGTACCACTTAAAAGGTATGCTACGATAGGTTAATTATGATAAGTTAATCACCATTGCTAATGAATTCAATATGTGCCAAAATTAAAAATACTTAAGTAACATGTTTATTTACAAAATGTGTCAAATACGGATGATGACGGGGTAAAGTAAACGAAATTCTATTTAGTCCATCAGTTAAATTATCAAATATCAACCAAAAATTACAAACTGGAAGCACGTCTAAGTTTGGGAGTGGGGAATTGTGACGTAAGTTTGGGAGTAAGGGATCGTGACGTCACTTCTTAGTAAAAAATACCAAGACGTGACGTCATGCGGCATGACAATCAATATATCTCTGTTATGTTTTGATCATTCTAAAAAAATAAGAACTAGGCACGTGTCCAATACTTTTGAAAATCTACGTGATAGACAAGAAAAAATATTTAGTCGGCATCCCTATTGTTGTCGCAATAACAAAAGCAAATGAGCTAAATAATGTTTGGGAAGTAAGTAGTAAAGTATTCTTTATTCTAATAAGATTGTTAGCTAATGCAATAGGCTATTTGTCAAGTTTGGATATTTATAATTATGTTGCCTATATCAGCTAGTGTTAGCAAATGTGGCATCTTACAGGCAGGTGACAGCACACGGCTCTCATCAAAACAGTACAAATTAATGTCACTCTGTCAGGATGTTTACAAGTTGGTGACGTCTTTTTAGGCTCCGCCAAGCGCCAATCCTACGCGTTTTCGGTCACGTGACAATAGATTGAACAATCATTTTCCATTTCACGACTTTTAGTAATATTATCAACTACTTTTTTTGTCCAGAATATTGAAATCGCTCACAATACTATTCATGGTGAAATACACATGCCAATAACTGGCACTTTATTTTTCATACTGTCAAATAGCCTACCTATTCTGTTCTACCATCCGTTCAAATTCCTTTTAGCTGTGGAGGAGAAAAAAAGTAGCTCCACGATATATTAAATAGTTACCTACTATACAAAACTACTACGACGTATCTAATTAATGTATATTTACCTGATTTTGTAGTTGCTTGTGTTTGCGCCTGAGGTCCCGACTGACTTGGGCCAACTTCTCCACCTGGTTGGTCAACTGCAAAGAGTCCAAAATGGCCATTTTAAAAAACAAAACACACAGGGACAGAATATCACAACTCGTCTAGTTTCACTAAAAACAATAATATGACCGTCACATGACATTTAACTAAAAGTTTTGACGATTGCGTTATCATTATCAGTCATTCTATCAATAATGCACATAAATACTTATGTAAGTCCAAAATAACAAGTAGATGTTAGGTATCGACGATAAGATTTAAACACGACAATCTATAAAATATTGATGATAGCTTAGATTAAGATAAAAGTTTATTATAAGTGTTTTAACAAAAGCCATGTACCCCACACACCCATCTGAAATGTCCATTATGTATACGATCCGAATATTTATTTATTGATTATAAAGCCCCGATAATAGAGCCATTAATAGTCTTAAAAAATGATTATTTTTACCTTATAAATACCTTATTTTATTTCTGAATTTCTATATATATTTAACTCACGCTTATAAACAAAATACTAAGTTTGTAAAACCTGTGTATACTTGTAAAGCTTAGCATGAAAGAGTATTTCGATGCGATATGAAAAGCTGAAATCGCTTGACCTACATCCAGATAGTGGAAGGAGACTATGAACTGTCGAGATTGAAAGCGAGCAAATTACGCCTGAAATATAAGACCGTCCTCAATTCCTTCCTCATGTGGAAATCCAACCTGAAAAATTAACCATGAAGCATTTTAGGGACTTCGACCTTGATTTAAACTTTTATGCAAGGAGAAAATACAAGTCTTGTCAATTATTATTAAAGTTTTTTAGGCATTCAACTGCTAGATGTTTAAACTCGCATCATCTGGACCGAGTGTTTTTTTTTTGTAATCACACTAATATTGTAAAGGCGAAAGTTTGTGAGTGCTTATGTTTGTTACTTCTTCACGTCTTAACGTTGACGAAACGTTGGTATGGAGTTAGCTGACATCCTGGATTAACACATAGGCTATGTTTTACTTCAAAAATATCCTAAATAAACCGCGGGTAACACCGCGGGGCACAGCTAGTTTAAGTATAGATATAGTTTTAAAATGAAGTTTTTACAGACGAAGCGTGCCCAGTGTCTATGGAGTTTTATGAATCGCGGAAAATTGCCTATGATGGGTGGGTGCGCAAACACTTTACAATGAACGACAAATAGCTTTTGTGAACTTAAGAGGTGACGCAGAGGTGTTTATTCGGTAGTGTAGTATAAAGGCATACAAATAAGTAACTATTGACGATGCGCATCAATTGAAGCCATATATACGTTAGGGCAATTGTTCATCACTACAGCATATTAAGTTTCCACGCTCATACTTTACGTAACTTTGTAGTACCTATAAAATTACGAATGAAGTAATATGTTAGTCTCCAACGAACGTCGTTTAATAGTTTAATCTAAGTGAAGAAATAATAAAAGTACTTAGGTAAGTACAGTGTTGTCGTATCTAGTTAGATACATCATTTTATAAGCACTTCACAAAAGGGCGACAAAAATAGCACAAAAATACTTCAACCACAAAACAATTGTAAAACAACAGCTTTTACAAAATCAGATAAAACTGAAAAATTGATAGCAGTCAAAAGGCTACCCTTGGTTTCTTTTTATTACTGGGCCTGATCCTGTCATTTTAACTCCCTCCGCAATGGTCTGAATTCCATATTTGGGAGAGAAATCAGCTTAATGTTAATTGACACTTGCTCTAAAGAGGATAGATGGATTTAAGACAATCTTAATAAATCCGCCCACAATGAAGATATAAGTTACGAGACTTTATATTTAATAATAAATAAATAAAAATAAAATGTTTTTATTCCAAGACATGGTCTCATATATGTTAGTAACAATTTTTTCTTAACCTATGTTAGTATTTCATTAATGGAAGGGAGAAAAACGTCAAAAAGAAAAAGTTAGACGGACGAGACCTAGGGGGCTGCTGTGACGTTACATAATCAACCTAAGAGCCACAAGTGCGAGAAAGATGGAAACGTGCTACCATCACACTCCCACTCCAATTGATATAATTGTATTTTACTTGGGACTGCACATAAAAGAGTATACTTTAAGTTTTAGTACACAAAGGCTGACAATGAAACCTATTACCAAGACTCTTCTATTTGTCCGTCCGTCTGACTGGCAGTATCTACAGCCCGATGAGAGATTTCATGATCCATAAATAGAGTGTCAGATGAATCTTCGCAGAATGTGTATTTCCATGCCCCCTTGCCCAAAAGAAAGGTGACTTTTTGAATACACCTTATTTTTGCCCAACTTCCTAGTGTAAAATGTTATACAATGATACGGAATCTTAGCCGTTTATTTATATTTGAGATATTGAAGTATTTGTTCTCAAATATACAAATTGCCATATCAAATAGTAATCAGGCGTTCGGGTTTCAATAGCTCATTTATCACAGAAATATCGGCAATTCATCAATCTCCTATTATAATTTATCTCGGCGTGGCGTCAGAAAAGTTTTCAGTATACGTAATTGATATAATTTGATTGACGATCGGCTAAACCGAGTTAGCTAACACTCCTGTGCGTCGCCATCCATACAAGTCATAAATATAAGTTATTCTGCCTGTATGTTTATTATGCTTATGCTGAACGTTGATAAAACTTCAAGGGGTAAAATATGGCATAATAGTTTAGAAAAGGGCGGTGATGGCTTTTCATGATAAGTTTCGCAGCTGAATCTGAGGACTATTCCTTAGACATGACATATACAAATTCCTGCAATGACTAGTGATTGGAAAAGTTGCTGGTAAGAGGAATTACAATCGTAAAAGAGCGTCCTTACTGAAACTAACGGCATGCGCTGCGTAAAGCGGGAACACAGAAGCACGTCGACTCCGCGTGCAGTTTCATTTCATTTCATACAACAGCGCTGTGACCGGAGATCTGCCTCACGCAGCGCTGCTTTATGAAATAACATGATAGGAACACGCGTAGCGGACGTCCCGCCTAACGCAGTGCAGGCTCTTAAGAGAATAGACGGGTGTCCAGATCGTTGCTCTTCTCTTTAGCTTGGCCCAAGACAAGCAAAGTTGATCGCTGCTCCTCATAAATAGAAGGAAACACATGTTTTTACTGATATAGTCTGATTAAACTTAAGAAATGCCTAAGCAAACTAAAATTTAAAATAACCCTTGTGTTCTGTATTGTATTGAATGTATGCTGTCTGCTTGGACGTTACTGAAATAGAAGCTTTTAGCTGGATAGCCATTTCTATTTGGCTTTACAAAAGGAAATAGAAGAAAGTACGAAATTTGGTAAATCGAGAACTGTGAAATGGAAACGTTGTGTTGTTATGTTAATAATAATAATATATTTCTTTCGGGCAAAACACTCTGAGTTAGATTCTCCGTACCTGCTATCCCATATTGATAATTATCGCTTTAGAAAGCCTATGACATTTTTTCTTCCTGTATACCTCAATAAAACTTCTTATTATAACCCTTTATCACATATATATTGCCAATATAATGAACTCGTTAATGGAGCAGAAATAGATTTATTTGATCGTAGATCTTTAGTATTTAAGAAGAATCTAATTGCTAATTTGTCACTTTTGTAATTAATTAATCTATTGCTAGTAATCAATTAAAAATATACGCATTTATATATTATGGTTTGGCTGTTGCTTAGCATGTCAAGCACTCTGTTAATATTATTTAGTCACTCAGTATGTAGATATTAAAGGTTACATCCTTGTTTTTGAAACTTTTACAATGAAATTAATTTTGTACTGAATGTTTGTCACCTGTTTGTATATCAAATAAATAAACGCGTTCTTTTACTCATACTGAGAATGATCTGAGCTTTTCCTAACCAACTGTAAACTGGGTAAATAGTGTGAGAGGGACGAAGCGATCGGGCGGTCCACAGTTCTTACAGTAATTGGCTGTTTCTACTCTTTCTACAGAGCTGTTAATTTCATTCAAGTATTCCTCAGTCTATTATTATACTGTACGTACGCTCGCTGTGTGTACTTCTTTTACAGGTAAATAAAATATTATCCTTGACCTAGCTAAAACATTGCACATATTGGTTATTTTTTTGTATATTTCTTGAAGGGGATACTCCTTTTACCCTTTTCAAGTCCTTGTCACCTGTGGTGACCCAGTTCACAGATTCATTTTCAAATGATTAGTGTAAGCGGAAATATAAAAAGCAATGTTGTACATTTACTTTGATTTCTGATTCTAAGTAAGATTAGAAAACAATCGAGATCATCACGACCATTTTATATAATCACAGTGGTGATTTATAAAGAGTTTTGTTGTTTGATAAAGTTACGTTACTCTTAATTAAAAAAAAGGTAAAGAGAACACTTTACGTAATTACTGTAGTTATTTCTCACGTTATGGTAAAATAATATTTGGTGTTATTGATTTAACAGTAAACTTTGATGTGCCGTAAGATTGTAAGATCCTTCACCTTTCAAAAGACTGCAGCGAAATAACACGATGCGATTTTACAGCGAAAGTAATTTCAGTAATTTTCCTAGACATTCGCCAAATTAGGTATCATAGTAAAGGAATCTTTTCTGTAATAAAAATATAGAAAAAGGGATGAGAGCAGATCACGAGACGGTGGTGGTTTTACCTCCTGTCAAATTACATTTCAATCAAGTGTTTGCAACATGTTTGAAACTAGTTAGAATTTTAAAAGACATTTACAAACTTCATTTAAGTTTGGAAATTTTTAAAAAATTTTAAATTTCAGATCGATAAGTATCGTGACAGGAGTTCATCAGTCAGATAAAATAAATAATCATGTGATAGTTAATAAGATTACGATATGGCTCAACAAAATAGAGGTATGAAAGACACTTGTGACAATCACATGTTCCTTTAAAATACCTTATTTTTGTCTTTGAGTTTAATATTATTCGTTTGCCAAATCCTACATATCTTTATCATATTTATGGCATCGTAAGGATTTTCTCCGTTTTAAATCTTAGAAGTACACAAATAGCTACAAAACGAAATAATAT